AAGCAGTACCTGAGCAGAGCAAATCCATTGCTAGCCTGTTGATTCAGCAACGTCAGGTGAGTAAACGATATTAATTTCTTTTCTCGGGCTTCGAATTCTCCAACGAACAAAAAGAAAATCAAAAATGTAGTACGACCGACACAAAATCAACAACATCAAATGATCCAACACAACACCGAAATCGAACATTCCACACAACATCGAAAGCAGACAGACCTTGAGGAATCAACTTACCCTTAACATCAGATGGAGCACCAGCAATGGGGATACCATTGTTCTCAACCTTCACGAATTGGTGACCATTTGGTAGACATAACTCGTGGTCGCGTATAGTCTGTGAATGGTCGTTGTTGAGGTTGAAGTAAGTATGATGTGTCAGATTGATAACAGTAGTAGCATCAGTAGTGGCATAGTACTCCATCGTCAACTTGCTACCGGTGATTGTGAAAACAACAGTGACATCCAAATTGCCGGGGAAACCTTGGTCGCCATCTTCGGAACGCATCGCGAAAGTCGCGGAAGCCGATTTTTCTGAACAACAAACGAATACTTGGGGATATAAGACGAGTAAAATCGAACTCACCATCACGGTAAGAATCCGTGTGCTTCCAAACCTTCTTGTTGAAACCATCGATACCACCATGGAGACAATGGTCCCCGTCATTGACGGTCAACTGATACTCCTTACCATCAACTGTCATACGGCCATTCAGAATCCTATTAGCATACCTGCAAAACATGATACCATTGGCAACACTTAGCACTGAAAAGTGACACTTACCTTCCTACACCACAGCACAGGTAGAGAGTGTCGTGAAGGTACTTCGTCCAATCATGGTCGTAGTTAAGATTGACCGCAGAAAACTTCCCATCACGATCAGGAGTCTCGAGACTGAGAATGTAGAGTCCGTACTCTGCAATGGTCACTCTGATCTTGTCGTTAGAAAGCGTAACAATTTGACTATTTTCCAAATCTACAACTGAATTGCAGTCAACGGAATAGCACTCCATAATAGAAATCGAGTAAAAAAAGGAACAACTGAGAAGATACATGAAAGACTCACATTGCAGTAGAAATGATCACCGACGTAATACTACCAATGACCAAT